CAGTGCCGAAAACATACAGTGTTGGGGGAAGCAGCTTGGTTGATTCAAACAGACCCAATAAAGTAAGCGCAGCGCCTTCATGTTCAAACCCAGTCACTTGCTGGTGTTGTGGGGAAAGCCACTCCATCCACAAATGTCAAACATTTGCCAGTAAGTCTGTGGAGGACAAGAGAAAGTTCATATTTGACAATAACCTGTGCTTTGGCTGTCTTAGGAAAGGACACATTTCAAAGGATTGCAAGAGTAAAGCCACTTGTAGCATATGCAAGAAACATCATCCAACACCACTACATGAAGACCGCCCTTCTTCTGCAGCAGTCACATTTTCTCATGCTATGCAAGCAGAAGAAAACACATCTTCCCTTTCCTGTTGCGTAGACAGTGGCGATGGTGGGAGTACATCAATGATAGTGCCTGTATGGATTTCTTCAATCACCAATCCTGAGAGAGAGACCTTAGTTTATGCCCTACAGGATACCCAGAGTAGCAACACCTTTGTAGACCAAGAGGTATGTGAGAGGATGGGGGTAGTTTCAGAGCCTGTCAAGTTAAAGCTTACTACAATGATGGGAAAGGATTCTGTCATTCAAAGTGAAAGAGTTAGTGGGCTCAGAGTTAGGGGGGTTGCCTCTCATGGCCTAATTAATTTGCCACCTGCCTATACCAGAGATTTCATACCACTTGAACGTTCCCACATTCCTACCTCTGAAACCGCCAGAAGGTGAATACATCTGAATAAAATAGCACAGGAGATACCAGAGCTGTTAGATTGTAAGGTTGGACTTCTGATAGGTTACGACTGCTCAAGAGCTTTAGTACCACGACAAGTAATCACAGGAGGTGATAATGAGCCGTATGCCATCAGGACGGACCTGGGTTGGAGTATTGTTGGTAGTTCACCACAGGTTGCAAAGTCGACAGAAGTCACAGGTCTGTGTCATCGTATATTCGTTAAGGAACTTCCAATACTGACTCCTGCTGCTGTCATCAGAGCCCTTGAATTAGACTTCAGAGATACAAACCCAAAGGAAAAGAGCATATCGCAAGACGATATACAGTTCATGCAATTACTGAATGAAAAAATTCACCAGAATTCAGAGGGACACCTGGAGATGCCCTCCCCTTTAAGACATGCCCACAACTACCAGAAAATAGGCAGCTGGCTCTTGTGCGGCTGAGACGTCTGAAAGGAAAATTTGAGAAAATCTATCCATCTATCTTTCCATCCATCCATCTCTGTTAGTATGTCCATCTATATATTTATTCATCCATCCATCCAACCATCTGTCTATCCGCCCATCCATCCATCTAACTGTCTATCTATCCATCTGCCTATTCATCCATCCATCCATCCATCAGTCTATTTAACCGTCCATTGATCCATCCATCCACCTATACAACCATCTGTTCATCTGCCCTTCCATCCGTCCAACTGTCTATCCATCTATTTTTCCATCCATCCATCTCTGTTAGTATGTCCATCTATCTATTTATTTATCCATCCATCCAACCAACTGTCTATCCGCCCATCAATCCGTCTAACTGTCCATCTATCTATCCATCTGCCTATTCGTCCGTCCGTCCGTCCATCCATCCATCCAACTGTTTATCCATTAATCTATCAGTCTATCTGTCTATCCATCCATCCATCCATCCAATCATTTGTCCATCTATCTATCCAACCGTCTTTCTATCTATCTGCCATATATCTGTCCATCTGTCTGTCTATCCATACATCCACCTATCCATACATTAACATACTGTATCTATCTATGCGTCCATCCATCTAATGCAAGTCTTAAAGAGATAGTTCACACAAAGATAAAAATTCTGTCACCATTTACTTGTTCCAAACGTGTATAACCTCCTTCTACAGAACACAAAATTTAATTTATTTGATTGTTTGTATATGTTGTTTGTACCAAAAATATCTCTTTTGTGTTCCATGGAAGAAAGACACCATGCTGTTTTGGAAGGACATGAGTGTAAGTAAATGATGACAGAATTTTATTTTCGGCTAAACTATCCTTTTAACCTTGTATAGATCTTGAGGTATTCAAAGTAAATAACAACATTTGAAGTGCTAGGTTTTTTAAACATTTTTAAAAATTCAGCCAAACTTTGCCAAACTTTTCTAGTTCAAACACTGGTAGGGACCACCGACCTGCTCATAGGGAGTTCACTAGCACATACAGAAGCACCATTGCAGCAGTGCCGGAATGAAATATCTGCCTACACTAATCCCACCCCCACAAGTTCATGCGTGTCACGTGAAGGACCATCAGGAGGGTTTCGTAATAGGGCCCCTTGCATTTGTTTTCAGGCTTTTAAGAGCTGAATGGTTAAGAGGAGAAATGGTATAAACACGGCCAACATCCTCCTTATATCTTCCACATAACAGAGATGGATAATTGTATTCCTAGAAATAGTTATAGCTATAGAGCCATCATCATAATAAAACTAATTATGTACTGATTACTGTTCACCGGATAAGGGTGTTGTGAGTGTAATCACTTTTTGCATTAAATTCCTGTAATGAAAAGGATGCAGTCATTACCAATTAATGCCACCGAGACTGTGCACAGAGTCTTTAGGATGCACAATTCATTCCAGTTGCTGCTGCGGCTCAGTGCTGTGAAATTGGGGACCCTGATGATACCATTATTCTAATGACACTCTCTGAAGAGATGGGAAAGATGGTGAACTGAGATTGCTTCTGCAGTTTATCATCATAAATGGTGTATATCAAGACGCAAGGCTCTAATGAACTGTTGGCTTCCTCAGGTTTGAATGATCGACTTGCAATGCCAGGTGCAAATGACCAACAACAGGGCCCTCAGTCAAAATTACTGGATGTACTGTGCTGTGTGGAGGCTGAAATAAATGTTGGTGGTCTCACCTTGGGAAATTAATTTGCACTCATCATTGCTGGATTGATGCTCGTCATTTGTGGCCAGCCAATGACACCTGTAATTCACCGGTTTTTGAGAGGAACTGTGCATTTTTCATATGGTTGTCTGTCTCTCTTTTTTTTCCCAGGACAATAATAAACTGCAATTTACGGACAATCCAGGCACGAGCATTTGCGCAGAACCCTCACCTCCGCTACATGTGAGTAAAATGTCTTTCAAGTGTGTTTTAGTCGTTCTCTGAATGAGTCTTTTAAGTGAATGAGTCATTCTTGTTTGCTTCCATGCACTTGTAAACAATGTTGGGCGAGCTACATTTAGTGCATATATCGTAGCTCAGATTGTAATATTAGAAAATAGTAGCTGGTGTAATGATGCAACGGACATAAAGTGTCACTGAATGAATCAGTGAACAATTCAAAAGATTCGAGTCATTGGGATGACTTTTAAAATTCCCAAATTTTAGTCTCATAATGTTTTTTTGATCATTAAGTTAGATCAATCAGAAATCAACTTGATTTGATTTTACTCAGTGTTTTCCTGAATCAACATCCCGGAAATGGCATACCTATCAACCAATCCAGAATAGCTAGCCATAAAAATTAGAGGCCAATTATTGGTTAGACAAAAATATTTTTTTGAAGTTGTAAATAAAACAAAGATTATTGGAGTATGTTTTATAAGAAGAAAACTATTTCAGTCTATCTACTTAAAAATGTTCATGTTTAATTCAATTTGTTACTTGCTGTTTCTTTGTAATTAATAGTAAAATTTATTAGCAATTTATGAGTGAAAATTGTTTCTTCAACATTTATTTTTTTTCAGTGTAGAAACAACAGATGATTTTGATACAGGACCATGTGACCTATTGTAAATCATGTTAATATTACAATGAAATGAAAGTAGCAACAGATCTTTTTATTTTTGTATTGTGACATACATCCAATGAAATGGACTATTGAAAAGGAAAACATGATGGACAGGGACTTGGTTCTATCAATCGGTTGTTGATTGGATGGCAGATTGGTTGAATGTCTGTTGTAAGAAAAGAGCGGGGTTTATGTATACTAAATGATCGATCGGAGAAGTCCAAAATACGTCACCAGAGACAAGTCTGTCATTTCACTGTAAGATCGAGTTATGACAATTTAATAAAAAATGATGAGGTCAAAAAAATAAACGCGCATGAATGAATCGTTCACAATAAGATCAATAACATGCATGTAGAAAACAGATAGAGTGAATTTTTTATTTTAATGCCAACTTTAAACAATTTTCTGAGGATCATTTTTTACTTCTGAAATGCAGGTTCCAGTTAGAGGTATATCTCTTTTGGAATCCATAGCTTTTACTTTTCATGTTGGCTAACCTTTCTTTGAATCCTTGCACAACTAATGGATAGACGTTCTTTTTACCATAGCTAGGAGAAATCATCATGATACTCTCATTACAACATTCTTTACCTTTCATGCCAGTAAGCAAAATGTCTGTGACCTTTGATGTCTGTCATAGTCTCACAACCTATGCATGCAAGCTATGCATGATTTTCTATGTGATAATGGTCTCAGTTAAAGGCAAGTGAACAGGCTAAGCACTTCATGAATGGGCTAGAAAGTAAAAGATCCTGTGTTCACTTGAGGCACGGACAGAGCAGATGGACATGCTAATTGTGGGCTCATTAAGAAATACGGTCAGGAACTTAAATAGAAAAGATGATGACTGCTTATGTCTTATTCAATTGTGGCTCTCAGAGGATTAAAGTGGCCACTTTTGAAGCTGTAATGGCCGATGGAAATAAATCACATTGAGTAATGGGCAGCAATTTCAAAAGACAAAACATATTGATTAAGGCCATGTGGAATAAGTTAAGTACAATACAACTACTGAGATGTTAGACTTCCTTGACTCCGATAGGCTTGATTTTTCTTAATAACAAAACACACAGTGGATAAATGAATCTCTCTCTCTGAAGAATATAATAATAATAAGTCTATAGATGTAATAATAATAGTCTATAATAAGTCTAATGAACATTTTTTCCACTGTTGTGCAATGGAAAGGTTCCATGGGTGTTAAAAGTTCTTCATGGGATCATAAATGCCAACAAAGAACCTTTATTTTTAAAAGTGTTTAATAAAAACTACATAGTGAGATAAATAAAACAATATATTCTGCATAAAGAACATTACGCCTATTTTAGTTTCTTTCTTCTATATTTAGTTTCTTCTTTTTATTGAGACTATTTTCAATTTAAATTTTTCTCTTTTGATTTCGGGGTAAAATATGACCTGCACATGTTTTTTTGAGAATCACCCAAGAAAAATCTGCAATAACAAGTATATACAGTATAAGTAGATTATTTAAAATTTCTGGCATGCATTTTATGTTTGACTGATAGCACACTCTTTAATCTCAACCAAATTTCGATCACAATAAATTCCCCAGCTCCCAAAGAAAACCGCTTGTTAATTCCACACATGGACTTGAATGAACCTTTTGGTTTTTATGCGTCCTAAACGTCCTGTGTTTTAAATGACGGAGCGCAGACTGGGTGGCCAGACGTTGTGTCTCCACAGCCCACATATCAACAGGAGCCTAATAAATTTGAAGGACCCATTGAAGGGAAGGAGGAAAGGTCATATCCTCTTGGGAGGGCGGAAAGTCTCTCCCTCATTAAGTCTTTCTCCTCTACGTGATTCTCCTTTCCCAAAATGTCACTTTCTTCACCAAACCCCCTCCTCTGACATCAAATGTTGTGTGTTCATTTTAACATGACAAAATGACTTTACTGTCACTTTACAGGGCTGAGTGATGTTATTTGTGAAATACAGCCAGACATTTTGTAATATTATAATAGTCTAAATGCTTTTTGTTGGTCATGTTTTTGATATTTCATCATACTTTACTTATGGCCTAGTACATACTGTCCTTTTTTACAATTATGGGTTATGTGAAGTATACTGTACATCCAGATTTGTGATACAATGGCATGGCTATGCAGTACAGGGAACAGTTTTTGTGAATATTGTTATTTTAGCTTGTTTTTAATGCATGAAATATTATTTAAATAAGTGCTTGTTGATGCTTCATTCATGTGGAAATTCAAACTGAATTTAGAAAGCTGTATTGCATATATTCAGTGAATCTGAAATGATTTATTCTCAGTTACAAGTTTCTTTCACTTTAGCTGTAAACATGCATTTGAATCATTTTTAAGTTTGGATTTAATACACTGGCTGTATATAGCTGTCGCTGAACTAATTATCATGCATTGCACGTGCTGTCGTGTAAAGCACTCTGGAGCCAACAACACAAACACCAAGGAAATCAAGTTAGAAAAAGAACAGTTACTGTAGATGCATTTAATAGGACAGTTAGATGCATTAGCCGCCTTAGAAAGATGATTAGCCTACATATTCTAAATATAACATGCGTTATGGAATGGAAAAGTCAAACAAAGAAGTGGTTTGGGTTGCAAGGACAGCAAAGAAAACCAAAAACACCCCAAGCTCAATCCCATTACCAGATTTTGATCCTGATGATTTGTACAATCCAAAAAAAGGCACATTATACATTAGTGGACATAAAAACAAATTACAGGATCTGCCTGAGAAGGATGTTGTGTCATTTTTATAATTTTATTCATAATGTAATAGCTATTTATGAAAATACTACTAATAGGCTGAATAAAATGAATGGTAATTAGAACAACTGTATCATATTATAATCTTTTTTTTTAAGCTTTATATATTTATATGTGTGACTATAAATAAAATGACCTCAAAATCAGTACTTTCAAGTTGTATTTTTAGTATAAAACCCCTGAGATCCTGCACTGATCTTAAGAGCTTTTGCCCAGTGAAGCCTGATTTCTTTTTGTGGTCTTACTGATATGTCGTTTCTTCTGGCAGATCACTTTACTCCATCACAACACTTATGTGGACTCACCAGAGTATGACATACCGGCTTTTCTTTTGGCCCAAAATGATTTAGTCAGACTCCATTTGGCAGATGCAGCATTTATTGTTCATCGAGACAACAGTGGCGGTAAAATGGTCTATTCTTACTGCGTTTTTTTACAGTTAGTGTCCATGCATGTTACAGTGTATTTTTCAAATGTGAGCTTATATTTTCTCAAACACAACAGCCATAAATGATGTAAAGTGCTATAATGGAAGTTTTCTTTAAAATTTATGGACACTTAGAGCTCAATCGTTAGTTAAAGACTGAAAGCCGTAATGTCCGTGAACATTGTTTGTTTCAAGTGACTGGTGCACCACCTGTCTCTCAGAAGTCACATATCGCATGCCGATCAGATTGGAACTGGCGATTTTGCAGCTCTTGCCATTTTTGTGCAAAATGTGCATCAGATGGCCAGTGAACAGACTGTAAGCTACCCACAGATTTGGATGTAGCTAAGTAGGAAGATTTTAGAGGCTGTGAAAGCTTTCCAAACATCCCCGTAAGATATGCAGAACACACAGCATTTAGCCTTTGCGGGTGATAAGCTAATAGCTGTGGTTGGGTACAGAGCAGGAATTCAGAGGGGTCTGTCCACTAACGTGATACTCTGCTTGAATTAATTGCTGCTTTTGCTAAAGGTTGAATGTTACACTCTTTTGTTTGTTACACTGCAATTGGATAGGCTTGGGAAGCACTCCGTCTTTCTTTGTGGTTTCAAAACATTAAAGGCGTTATACAATATCATACATTTTTAAAAATCAATTTTACATTTTTTCAGAAATACATTTTTAAAGATTCCGTTTACATTGTTAAGGCCCTTTGCATCTTTGCAAATGTAAAAAATCAAACAACTGGGCTATCAAAAGATTGAAATCATTAAAGTGTCCCTATTATGCCATTTCGAATATTGCCTTGCATGCAGTGTATAATGCAGCTGTCTGTGAATGTAGACTGCAACTCTGCAAAGCTGTGAAGCCAAAGTCGTTGCGAAAAAATAAAGTTGCGCGCATCAGTGTCTGGTTGATCAACTAGATGTTTCATCATCGTACTCGGGCTCGAATTTATAAGGTAAAATCAGTACCATGTTTTCTCTCTATACATTCTCTCTGGAGCTGTCATTCAGTTATGACAATGGGTGTATCATTTCTGACACACGCTGTATGTGGTAGACCAATAACAAAGGATTGGGCCAATCAGAGCAGAGTAGGCTCACGAAAGGAGGGGTTTAGAGAGACTGAT